AATTGTTGTAACTTTTGAACGGTTCGACTACAAACGAAACGAAAATCACTACAAACAACTACAAACGATTTAGAAACGTCACCCGCTTGCAGATTTGAGATATCTCAAAGTGGGGTGCTACTCATTTTTTTAAATTTCTATAATTTTTAATGGATGGAACTACAAACGAAATTATTGTTACTACAAACAACTACAAACAAAATGCTAACTTTTTACGTAGAAAAAAATTATTTTTTCAAAAGTCGGGTGCCAGGTTCACATAGCTACCACTGAGCCATTCAATAGTGACCAGCGTGGTATCGATATGTGATATCAATGTTAAAAGCTGATGATACATGACAAGTTACATTAAAAGAAAGAAGAGATGAAACGTCGAATATTAAGTATTGTAATTATATACACTGATTGATACTTCCCTTTAAGAAGTAGGGTATAATGGTTAGTCGAAAAGTTCGGCTCGATTTTCAAGACAAATTTGGCTTGATTGCATTCAATGAAAAGGAATTATTCATCAAGCAAGTAATTGTTGTCTATGATCATTCGCCAACGTTCTAGCAGCACTCATATGTTTCCATCATCGAAAATAGAATAAAGCATCCAATTATGGACATCCTCCTTGTGCACGTTTCTACCATTAAACGTCCATTAAATCTTAATCTGAGTTAAAGTTGATAGGAATGGGCATTGTCACTTTAGAAAAACTTAGGTTTTCTTGCGATCCACGTCGATTATTCACATTTTTAGTTATAAAGTTCTCTTTTGGAACTATAAAGTGCAAGTATCCGGTATGGTCTAGTGACTAGGACCTGGTTTTTATAAATGCAAGCAAGAAGTGTAACTGCTGATCGCAAAAAAATCAGACTTTACTAAAGTGTTAATAGTTTACTAATAATTGGGGATGTCAGAAATTAAATATTTTACTTTATTTTATTTTACATATAGTCAATCTTTTCTTAATTACATATTCAATTAGATAATATTTCACTAATGTAAGTTTCATCAAATTCTTACGAAACTAGTTTCATAAATCCTGAAGATATTGAGATTTTGATATACCAGCAATGATATACCAAATAATGATAGTAACAGCATCTAAAGGGGTTCTCTCTGGTGGATCTCTCGGATAGACCCTAACGATACGTAAATTAGAAATGGATCATTGTCTCCCCTTGCTAGTTCGTTAAAAGGTTAAACGAACAGATCCTATATGGTACGTGAAACCAGACTTAATAATCTATTCACCCTCGCGTTATCTAAGTCTTCGGGTTTGATAAACCTACAGTCGGGGATTCTACCTGCATTTTACATTCCTATCTCTATTTTGTTTCTGTATCTTTTGCGCAAGAAGATTAATGGCGCAACATACATGGCGACATGTAGGTATTTGATAAGAAAAATAGTGCACTGAAATATCAGAAGATAACTATCCGTACACTACTATGGACAGTAAAGCGGTTTCGGAACGAATGTATCGGATAATATAATAGTATCATTAGCATTCTTATTCACAGGTGTTCGTTATTCACGATGGATACTCGAAAGCGCAGCCGCGCGCGTTGCCATCAGTTGCAACTCCGTGCACTCACAAAATACGTGTCATGTGCATTATATACGGCACAAAGCTAGACAATTAGGTCGAAATAATGAAGATCTGACGCTTCAGTCGAGAGAGACTAACGCGGCCTTAGTCGTATGGTTTATCGTCTATTTTTGTAGCGATGTTCTCATTAAGTACGCAGCACGTTCGATAACAGCTCAGTTTTCACGAATGGCTCATTTACAAACACCACAAACGCAATTCTAATCATGATGTGTCGCTTATATGAACAGTGAACGAAACTCGTATAAAATAATGCATCCTTTAAAGAATTTGTCATTATTTAAGATATCCAGACATCGCAAATTTCTCAAAATGTCCCAAAAAAAATGTTTAATAAAAAATGTTTTCCTCTGTACATCTTTGAGGACAGACACTAACAGTTTATGTTTTAGTTAGTTAATATCACGCTATTATACCTGTGTGTTAGACCTTACCAAGCCTTTATTTCTTCTCTCTTGATTATTAAATATTCATATTTAAAGATTAAAATAATGAGAATAGTCAGGACTTAACCGTGTGTCCAGATACATTGATATCTTTACCTTAATTAATAATAATTGCCACTTGAAATTTATCTTATGTCCTATGCTGTCAAATATGCCTTTCATATTTGATTCTTCGTGATCATTCGCCAGCTTATCTGTTTAATCTTTTGCACCATCATTACGACCACCATCGAAGAAATTCATGTCTTCAGAACCAGCTAAGTCGTTTTTTGTCATCGCACATCTAAATTTGAAGCTGCTTCTTTATATAATGTATCTAAATATTACTATCGGTTACCTTCCTTTCGATTTAACTGAATAACTCTCATTTAACTCCGAACTCAAATTTGAATATCTCACTCGAGACGAATTTAATGTAACAACTCTAACACAGTTCATTGGCGTTACATGGGTCAAATATTGGTTACATGGAGCCAATATAACCATTATATAAGTAATATTAGTTATAATTTGTAAATAAATTGCCAATATTGCACAACATGATTGTATCAATATTAATCCTCCAACTTCTTAACCCGCGATTTACGCGAGTTGGATGTTTGGCTCTTTCTGAACGATAATATTGTTTACAAATTGATATAATCCAGGTAATTATAATTTATTTTCAATTTTTTTTGTTATATTTATATGATGTCTTTTATTCTTGATAGAAACACTAAATGTATAAACCTGTTGAGAGAAGAATCTCCTACTATATTTACCATAGAAAATTACTCTGCTAGAGGATTAACATACATTGGACCAATATAACTCAATAAGTAGCGAATATTGGTAACAAATAAATTACTAATACTCGGAATTTTATATTGGCTATAAGATGCAAGGCGTCTACTTTGCAATACTGGCCAATGAACTATGTTGCCAGGGAATCATTAGCACAGGTCTCAGACGTCTTTTGTAGAACCTTGTGTGCATTATATTTAAATATATATAATATACTGGTAGAGAGAGAGAAAGAGAGAAGGAAGAATGAGGAAGTCGAGATAAGCGAAAAAGAACACCGTGGTCGAGTTAGTAGTGCCAGATTCCTCGGGGAAACGTAAACACCCAAAACGCATCGCGGCGCAACCCAACAAAAAAAAAAAGAGAAGAGGGGAAGGATCGTTCTACTCGCACGCTCGAGAAGACCAATAAGAAGGAGGGAAAGAAGAAGATATAGAGCGAGAGGAGGGAAGGCGGAAGGAGCGGAAGTGTCGCTAAATGTGGGAGAAAAGGAGGAGGTAAGTAGCCAAGATCGAACGATGCAAATTCTTCGGACAAGCGCAACGCGTCGCATCACATAAAATGCGATGTGTAAAATGGGAAAAGGAGAACAGCGCAGAGGAGGAGGAGGAGGAGGAGGATGGTCACATACGGGACGAGCAAGGTGGCGGCAACGAGCTGACGGGCGAGGGGAGGAGGGAAAAGGGGCAAAGGGGGACTCTCGCTCACGCATGGCGCGTACACACGCGGGGCAGAGGCTCGCCCTAGAAAACGTCAAACCGACGGATTCACCTATTTATAGACCACCGAGTGAGTTCGCGATACGAGCCTTTCGGAAAACATTCGCCACCTCGGCAAATGCCGAGGGACGACCGACGAGAGCGTGGAAATCGGACGGAAACTGTGCGACGCAGGGGCGTACCCCTTCCTAAGCGTTCGCACTCGCGAACGGACGGATGGACGGACGGACGGGCGAACGCACGGACGCCGCATTCCTTCCCTCTCTTTCCCTATCTCGCTCTTCTCCTCGCCCGTGGCGCGAATCGCCGCCGATCGTAAATCGCGAGGTCCACCGGCACACGAGAAAGGCACAGGCGGGAGAGGAAACGAAGAGGACAGGGGGAGGGGGGACAGAGAGAGGAAGAATAGGGAAAGAGAAAGACACAACGAGAGAGCCTAGCCGGCGTTCGTTGATCGTTCACGAAATTCTCTACTTACCCATTTTTGATGGCGGCACAAGCTGCGGCGAACTGGTAGTTGATTCTCGTCACGTCGCGGATCACTCTGTCATAGCACGGCACTGGACGACGGTGCAAAGGCGCACGACGCGCGTTTCACTTAGAAAATCGCGGAAAACGCGAGCGACGTTCTTACCAGGGTACGCCGACGGCCGACATTGCAGTGCAGAGACGAGCGCAGAGCACAGGCCGCGCGTGCGCGTGGTGCGCCGGGAAAACTGACCGCATCGGCGGCGCAAAATTCAAACGTAGTAACGTGTTTCCTCATGTTCGAGCTGAGGTGTTATTCTACATTTATGCTTCATATTTTAGGCACCTGAATCTAGATGTAATACGATTCAACATTATAAACAGTTGATAATATTTCTCTCTATGGAAAAGCTTATATTTCAATAAATATAAATAAACTAGTTAAGAAATTGTGAATAAAAAAAAGTCAATATAAAAGATAAATTGTTAATTTTAAATATATTTTTTGTAAATAGAATATTTTATGCATTATTTTTTACGTTTAAGGTAATCTCATAGTTAGTCTAAATCGCGATCTTCATGTCCGATTTAAAAGAAGTATAACGCAAAAGTAGTTATTTAGTTTCATCATTAAACAATTATTTTTTCGATATTTTTAAATTTGATTAATGAAGTGGTCATCTTTAAAATATTAAGTTGTATTACTCGAAAGATAAAAAATTATTTGACCTGAGGACTGACCATAAATTTTTTCTTTTTTTAGTGTGAACTAACAGCACAAGATGTCCTGGAGACGTCCCAGGGATGTCCTGAGGATATAGAAACGTCCTCAAGACATCCTCAGGACGTACTCTGCACGTCCTTTGGACATCTGCGTTGTTAGAGATTGAAGAGTGAAAACTTTCAAACGTTTTCAAATCAGAAAATTTTTATATTTCACAAGTTTATATTGAAGAAAAAGATTGATAGTCGATCCCATGCTCTTGAGTCGCAAAAGTCGCAATTTAAAATAAAAATATCTCTTTACGTTCTGTCATGTTATGCCATTTGATAATAACAAAGGTCATCCGGCCCGTCATTAAATGGTCATATTTGAAAAAGAAAAATGTCTTTCGACCTGCTGTTGAGTCGTGCCATTTGGAAATAACAAAGTCGCCTAATCTGCCATTAAACCGTTTTACTTGCGAAATAAAAGGTCGGCTGACTTTCTATTGAGTCATATCACGATATCTCTTTTTTTTTTTTTTATTGAGAATAAAGAGTGTACGAAAGGTGTATGGATCTAGGTGCTAAGCCTATCCGACTCTTGTGATACAATCGTTAAAGTAAGTAGGTAATTTTCTCGAAAATATTATACATTGTTGTTAATAAATATGGATTACAATTTTATGATTTTAACTTTAAATCTAAGTTAACCACGATATCCACTTGTCGGTAGAAATGGTGGCGGCTCGTAGCGGAAATCTTAGAACTAATAAAAATAACGAGTCTAATCGTAACGGGTTAATTATCGTTAATTTTATCTTTACCGCACTGACATATGACTGAAATTAATACACACATTGATAGTCTGATGCTAAATAAAAAAAAAGAAGATTATTTAGCGCAAAGACTTAAATCTATTTAGCCGAGATTCAAACCTGTTAGCGTGACTGATCTTCTCACAACACTGTTAGATGGAGCCAGATAGTCTATTAGTCGCACTTGAAGGGATTTACCGGATCGATTTTTATTACCTTTATCAGAGAAGCCTCCACTCCCTTCACAGAAATATTATACTGAGAATCATTAATTAATTACTTATTTTCAGCATTAAAAATATAGTGATTTGTAACATTCTGTGATTCAAATACAGTTTATATTTATACAGATTATACATTAGTACTCACAAGTATTTCAGTGTTTAGTCTTACAATGATACAAATACTACTTTATAAATGATTTCAATACTTAAATATTGATATATAATACTTCGTTTAGTAATAAAATACTTATGAAATGCATTGTCAATAATTAAATGTGAATACGTAATACTTCGCTACTTGATAAAATATTTACTGTCAAGAATTAAAATATTAACGCAAATATTAATAGCACACAATATTTATGATAAATATTTACTTCAAATTATTTTTTTAAAATATCATAAAAATTTTATAAATATTTTATATATATGAAGAGAGAGGAAAAAGTATCAAAATCTTAACTCAAAATATTAAAATATAGGATAAATATTTTATGCAATATTGTAAACAAAAAATAAATATTTCTAGTAATATTTTGTAAATATTTCTATAAATATTATACATGAAAAAAATAAATAAAATTATTTATAATTATTAAATTAATGAAGAAATAAGACTATCGAAATTTAAATCGGTAATACACTGAAAAAATTCTTTAAATCAAATAAATATGTTTTGTTAAATATAATTTGTTAACTCAAAAAAATATTTGTTAGATTTTAGAAAATATGTAATAAATATAAATTAATATTTTTTAAATTTGTAAAATATACTGTAATATTATGAATGTCTAGAAAAAGACGATTTCCTTAACTTAAAATATCTACAAGAATAAGCAAATGCTTTCCTTACAAGAAGAAAATTAGTTTTTTTTTTAATGTAAAAACTGTGTCCAAATAAATATTTGTTTATTTTAAAAGCAAATGAAATACAAGTAAATTATTTTATAAGTCTAAATAAATTATTTTCTAATATTAAAAGTATATTTTTGTGTTTTAAAGTTCTTTTATTAGCAAAAAAAATTTATTTAAATTTACCAAATGACTTATTTGTATTTTACTTACTTTTAAAACAAGTAAATATTTTTAAATATATTTTTACATACTTTTTAAACATACCTTTTATATTTATAAAGGTTTATTCTCTTCTTTTAAATAAATCATTTTAGTATATAGATATACCATATACATTACGAAGTGTATCTCAGTCAAGGTGACAGTCGCTATATGATCTAACCAGCAGTAACATAACACACTTTCGGGCCGTGCGCAGCATAGGTACTACTAGCGCCGGAACGGGGGATTCCCTGAAAGTTATGCGCAAGCGATTCTCGGGGAGTCCCTGAGGTACGTTATTATCGTCGTTGCCCAGTTATTGTTATTCATTGTTAATACCGATTATTCAATCATTGTTATTCAGCTATTATCCACTCGCGAATGTTATCGTACGATTATCGATCAAGTATTATTATCAGTACCATTTATTATTTGAATATTATTACTTTTTTATAATAATTATAATAATACCTGATCGACAATCGTATGATAATAACCGCGAGCGAATAATAAAGTAGTGATAATGATCGAATAATCGCTAATAACAATGAATAACAATAACTGGGCAACGACGATGATAACTGTTTAAAGAGGAGATAAAGAAATTGTCGTAACGGCATGTCCGAGTTGCTTTCCTATGCATAATAGCAATAATTAAATAATAACCGAATAAATTAAATAAAAACTGAATGAAGAAGTAATAATATACTCGAATATTAAATAGTAGTGATAATAATATCTGCTCGACAATCGTGTGATAATATCTGTAAGTAGATAATAACGAAATAATGATGATCGAATAATCGAATAATAACTATATCCAGTTAACGGCTCTAACAAAAACTATTTGCGCCACAAAGGCTACGTAAACCGACCGTCGTAACGGCCCGCTAGGGCCGTTGACTGAGTAGCTCTGGAGGGAGCACGCGGCCAAATCATGTAAACATGCGCGAGCACGTGCTCAAGCGTCACGCCATAACACTCTCAACCGTCGAGACAAGTACATCGGGAGCTGCCGCGTTATTTTCTAAATTATTTCGCGTCGATTTTTAATACCGTATTTTGACTTCGCCATAATTAAGGCGATAATTAACACGAATTGAGACGCGTAGAATTCTCACGCGTGTAAGTGCTGCAGGTTTTACCGCGACAGGTAATTACCGCGTTTCATTTACTTTTCTACTTGTTAGATAGAGAAACGTCACGATCCTGAATGCCGATCAAATATTATCAGCATCCATTTATTATTTTAGTATTATTACTTCTTTATTCGGTTATTATTTAATTATTGCTATTACGCATAGGAAAGCAACTCGGGCGTGCCGTTACGATTTCCTTACCCTGTCTTGCTGTCGTGTGTAATGAATTGACACTACTGGACATTATTATACGGTTATCGATCAGACATTATTACCATTTCCTATTAATTAATCGGGTATTATTACTTCTTTATTCGGCTATTGTTCAATCATGTTTTATTGCACATTTGGAAGGAACTCGAACGTGTCGTTACAACAATTTCTTTTCACCGTTGTCGCGTGTAACTATTTGATACTAATTTATTAAATTACTAATTGATACTAAATTAAATTAAATTTCTGTCATAGAGATCTAATAGAGAAGACGCAGTCACGCGAGTGTAGGCGATGCGATGATTGGAGGATGCTGCGCCGGAGGATCCGGTTCGAGCCAAGCGGGGTTAGCTCGAAGGTTAGTTTCCCTAATTAGCATTTTTAATTATAAATCCAATAAGATTGATAATTCGCTTGCTCGAAATCGAAATAATTTGAATCAAGTCAAAGATCGCGTTAAATCGTAGTTACACGCGGGAAGAATTTTTTCCTGAGTAACACTTGAAAAATATTGATTTGTTCTAATTAAGAAATTGATTTAAAACTTCGAGAGAAAGGAAAATGTGGAATATTCTAAGTGTGAATGCATTCCAAAAAATTCTTCCAGCGTGAAAAATATCTCGCACTTATTTTTTTTTTAATATTGAAAACTTCTTCACTCAAACTAATATCAATATACGAATCTAATTGGCGAAAAATTTTTCTGTTCCAGAAACGAAAGCAGAACGTGGCTGCCCTGATCGGTGGATCGGTGAGTCAAACAAGAAAAAATATTGATAATAGAAAGACGAAAAGTCTTTCCATGTAATGCATGTTTATGAATCAATGCGATTTACTTTGTTGTAGTGTAGTGTGTGTATGTGCCGTCCAATAAAGCACACTGTTCGAAACAATTGAAAGATCGCTTTTACGAATAATAATATTAGTAATAATGCATTTTTATAAATTTGGCAACTTCAAGTATTTTTCTCCTAATGTATATATATTTATTAATTGTTTGACTAACTTAGATTATTGATTGGTTAATGATTTTTGTTGAAAAAAATTTT